CTAAGGTTTCACAGTGTCGACAACACATTCTAGCCATTTAATTTACCATTCAAAACCACCAGTGAACCTACCTCTTATGAGTTTTCTAGATTTAGTGTTGATGATGGTAAAATAGCGAAAAATCTGAAAAAAAAATCTTTGGGGACTATTTTGCCTCACAACACCCTGGATGTACCCTTCTGACATGAGGGGATTAAAATACATTTTAAAGCCAAAACTTTATCAGAAAACTATCATAAAACAACGTCTCAGCTATCAGGCAGTGTATTCACAAACCATTCCATGTAATAACTTTCTGTGAGGGAGATTTTATGAATAAAACAACTTTGACTTTTAGAGGGGGACGTCTGGTTCCTATCACCGCCTCTGTGAACAATTCTGACTCTGCAAGTTCGTCAGCAGTGAAGCATTTCACACCTAACTACTCTGAATGACTCTGTGTACAACTGAACCATTTACTTACGATGAAGATGTGAAAAATAGGTGGAATTTTACTGCAGTCATTATTTCGCTGAAGTAAAAACGCTTTTGCTTGAGTTTAGGTTTGGGATCCTTCTGCCTGCAGTCATGTAACTTAGCATAGCAAGGCTACAGAAGACTGTGTCAACTAACACAGCTATATTCTAACAACACAGAAAAATAGCAGCTGTTAACACTACAACCGCACTAAAATGACCAAACATACCGCGATTAAACAGATTATTTGGCAAACTGAGCTGTTTACATGTTTGCCTGTCTGTGTGGATTAGCAGAGCTAGCTAAGCTAACCGAGTTAATGTGCTTGTTTATACACCTGTCTCGATTAAACACACATGATATCAGCCGGGCTAGCTCGGACTCTTCGTCAGGGTGAGATATGATCAGTGAATGGTTTTCAAGTCTGCGTTAAAAATGTTTTAAAAGCAGAAAAACTCACCTGTAATGACTGAAGAGCCGCTCTGTTGCTTTCACCTTCGAGAAGCGCGCAAACGTCACAGCCTTCCGGAAGTTTCTCGTAGGTTACATCATGAGCCGTGCGCGCAGTGCATTGTGGAACTTGTAGTTCTTTATGAAGATGACGTGAATTCAGAAGCCATTTATCAGTGGTGGACGAAGTACATACATCATGTGCTTGAGTTAAAGTAGAGAGGCCCAAGGTAAAATATTACTCCAGTAAAAGTAGAAGTTCCTCCTTTTAGACCTCCACTTGAGTAAAAGTACAAAAGTATTTGCCTTCAAATGTACTTAAGTATCAAAAGTAAAAGTACTAAAAGATTAATTATGGCTCTATTATCATTTTTGTAACAAGACTCGCTTCATTAACTCATTTTAGGTGAAAATACTCCAGTGTCTCTCTTGGTAAACCAGTCTTTTAATAGAATGTCATTAATTAGTGACGCTGATGTCTATTAAAATTATCATAAGCACAAAACACTGAAGGCAAACAGTTTCCATTAGGTAGAACTGAGTGGCTCTGAAATAAGTTTTTGCAAACAAGCAAAGTTTCAGTTTAAGATTTATTTGCAACTTAGTTACAAGTTTAAGTTTAATAAAAACTTTAAACTCAGGTTCACAAATGAGTTTCCTTTACTAAACTGCATCTGTAGGTTTCTGTTCATAAACATAAACTAGTCAAAACAAATTTACTATAAAATGAAATGTGTTTGTATAAATTCAGAAAAAAGACACGTCAGTCACAACTGCATATGAGTACATATTTCCATATTGTGGTCTATTTACACAAAGTTAGGTTAGTTCATCATTTATGTTGAATAGACTCTCCCAAAATTTTACGCTGCTGCACTGATGTTGAACCGTATGCTGCACTGGGTCGGTATGACCAACAGGTCAAAACAAGCTCAAAACAAAGTGCGCTGTGCCCTGATTGGTGTTCTTGCTTCATGCTTATTTCACTTTGACATGTTACATTTTTATACACACATAAACCAAAAGGAACGACAGATTTCTCATAATGTAGTGGAGTAAAAAGTAAGATATTTGACTTTGAACTGTAGTGGAGTGAAAGTAAAAAGTCGCCCAAAATGGAAAAACTTCAATAAAGTAAAGATACATGAAAAACTACTTAAGTACAGCAACGAATTACATTTACTTAGTTACTGTCCACCACTGAAAAATATACAAATAATGCTGTGATCTGTGGTAAAATTAATTAATTTTTCACAATTTGCAGCCGGTACAGTTCAATATTCATGCAGTTTCTGTGTATCAAGACGACACAACATTGATTCCTGTTGATAAATGAACACAGGGCCGGTTCTAGCCTTTTGGGGGCCCTAAGCATGTGCCCCTCATGTGCCTGTCCACTAAGAATGAACAATTAAATGTAAACACGTCAATCATTTAAACAGAATTTTCTATGATATTGGTGAGATTAACTGAAAGTAGTTAATTGGCCAATGTTACATGTTAGGTTTTATTAACTTTGGTGCATGAAGTGTCCTTTTGTTTTAGCTGTCTTTGACTGAATACTGTTGTGGAATGCTTGTTTATTTTTCAATCTAATTTTGTTAAATTAGTTAAATAGCTAGTTAAATGTACACAATTATGTATAAAAGTTTTTTTTATGTATAAATCTTATATGTAGTCCTAAATAAACATTCCTACGTTGAGAATTCTAACATTGTTCACATAACATTAGACAACCAGTTATTTTACTTACTGATGTGCTGTGAAATAAGAACCTGATGACAATGACTTCCACACATTTTATAAATCATGTTTTAAAAAATGGCTAATTTGTGTATTAGTGATGATTGTATTCTAATAAATACCTGTTTGGAGTTCTATTAAGTTACAATTAAGTTACAGATAGCCATCACTTTCCTGCTGTTTGGTTCCAGATGCATGCATTTTTTGTGAGACATCATTAACCAGCTGCCTTTTCCTCCCAACATAATAGTACTGTAATAACACAAATGTTGTTATGGGGACCCTGGTGGCTGTGGGGCTCTTAGAAGCCACTTATGTTGCTTATTACGTAGCGCCAGCTACAAACTCTGGCAATTGGCAAACTATGAACTCAGTTAATACAATATAACATTTTACATGCTTCTCATATCACCACACACACTGCACACACATTGCATGGGATACAAAAATAGCAAAATATATATACACTGTTTGGATACCTTAGGTCAGTCTTTTTGTTTTGGGTGGCTAAAACCAATGTTAATGGTGACAAAATAAAGTACAAATTAAGTTCAAATTGAGCTTTTTACATACATTTTTATAATGTTGCACTATATTTTGTAAAAAAAACAAAAACAAAAACAAAAAAACTTTAGAATACTATTTAACAGGAAAATAAGAATTTGGTAAGATGCAATAGGAACATGTTACAGGGTAAAGGGGTGGGGTCATGGTGACTTTCTAAAAGGCCAATTCAAACACCCTCACAGGCTACGATGATTACTCTCATGCTCTCTGATCATACACATGAATCCAGCCCTTCTGGTGGGAGGTCTTAAAGAGGATGTGTGTGATCCTTAACCTCAGCATCCTACTCTGCTTCTCTATCACAGCACTGACTGATCTGTCAACACTGACTGATCTGTCAACACTGACTGATCTGTCTTCACTTTAAATGTCCCAAAAGCTTCACCTATTTGCACTAATATAATTACAAGTAGCTAAAAATAATCACACTTAACCTCTTAACACAAGCTCTCATTAACTTTCACAATCATGAGCAAATCATACCTAGACAGGGCTCCACTCTGATATACCTGGAAATTGGACCAAAAAACAAAACAAAAAACAAAAAACAACCCCCCCCTCCCCCCCAAAATATATATATATATATATATATATATATATATATATGGAAGTCATTGTTGTCAGGTTCTAACTTCACAGCACATCAGTAAGTAAAATAACTGGTTGTCTAATGTTATGTGAACAATGTTAGAATTCCTAATGTAGAAATGTTTATTTAGGACTACATTTAAGATTTATACATAAATAAATAAATAAATAAATAAATAAATAAATAAATAAATAAATAAATAAAGTCTAATTAAATATCTTTTTTGGTCAATATGCATTTAGAAAAAAAAAAATAAGGAAATTAAAAGCATCAAGTCATTCAAGTCAGTGTGGTGACCAGAGACAGAAACAAAGTTTTCAAGTTTTTTATAACATGTTAATACGAGGTAATATACACAGGGTTCTGGCTGCATGTCTTATTATGACTATTCAAGTTGACAGTGCAATGAGTTATCATAAGTAAATAATTCATAAATGTAATCTCTGCGATGAATTTGTTTCTGTCTCTATGGTCGCCACACTGACATGAATGACTTGATGCTTTTAATTTCCTTTATTTTTTTTATATAAACGCATGTTGACCAAAAAGATATTTAATCAGACTTTATTTATTGATTGATTGATTGATTGATTGATTGATTGATTGCTTTGCCCATTCACTTGCATTCTTTTCACTCTCTGTCTCTCTGGCGCCCTCTGCCGCCTATATAAGGCACTGCATATTTTTAGCACAACGAAACTGGGAGGGGGCGGGGATTTTTGCAGACCGGCTCTGTCAGGGCGGCTCTGATTGGTGGAAGCGTGTAGTAGCCCACCACGTGACCGGGCTCCAGTTTTGCCCCTTTACTCCAGACTCCTCATCACGGCGGAGATGCTGGAGGAGAGCTGCGGGTCTCTCTCACTGTAACAGCTCAGAAACATCACCCGGCTGTTTTGGCTGCGTATGAAAATGTCGTAGCTTCGTCTTTTGACTTTGATTAAAGACATCGACTTTTTTTTTACTTTGTTTTGACGATGCTGGATGGGATTTATCACTCTGTGTGAGATGTGATGGATCACAGAGATACAACTCGAACACAAACTCGTGGATGAGACAGAGCCTGGTGCTGAAGGGGGATCCGGACCATGTGGGCTGCGAGTGTGTCCGTCCAGGCTGTGGCCAGCATACGGAGGAAGACTAGATGGTAAATTGTCAATTAACGTTCAGTCATTTACTCTTTTATTAGTCAGTTGATTTAGATTTGGACTGTAAACAGAAGAAACTGTGTTATTGCCAGCCTAAGCAGTTGCGAACACATTTGGATTCCCGGTGGTCTTATAAAACCCCCACACATACTGATGTGTTAAAAAGGGCAGACTGCTGGCTGCAGTGTTGTGGTCAGAGCTATTGAATCACCAAGCAGTGGCTGGAGACAGACATGCAAGCCTTCACAGGCTTTTTAATCAAGCACTCGGATTTATGGACACCGTTTCTGGTCCTCAGAAACCTCTGTGTTCATCGTAATGGTCAGCATCTGCAATGCGAAACATCCCTCCAGGGGGGTTGGTCAATAAGGGTAGCTGACACAAATGAACCTCCGAATGATGGCCACAATGGACCCAGTGAGTGTGAGAGAGAATGAAATGACAGTGGGGGGAGGGACAGATAAAGAGAGAGAGAGAGAGAGGGGGGGGATAGAGGGGGGTCTACTGATAGTCTTCTACGGCTGAGCTTTCTACACAGAGGAGATGATAGAGGTAGATGTGTGTGTGTGTGGCTCTGGCTCAATGTGTGAAATCAGTTTTTCAGCGTAATTCAGTTCAAATTTACTTTAATTGCAGAGGAGTAAAAAATTACTTAAAAGGGCAATTCCACTGATATTTCAAAATTTCAGTATCATTAATTGGTCAAAACTAATAAGGTAAGCAAAGTCTTTCAGAGTGGTTTGGTGTGAAATGCTCTGTTTTAGAGTCAGAATTGTTCAAAGTGGCTTCCAGACATCTGAAGACCTTAATGCCTCTAAAAGCTCCCTCATAGAAAATTACTATGCAAATGAATTTATTACGCAAGTCATTACAAACACATTGCCTGATGCCTGAGACATAGTTTTGCTATAACATACATTTCAGATCACTTATTTATTCCACTGTTTTAACACCTGGTGGTTTTGGCTGGTGAATAAAATGGCTACACACTTAAAAATGATGGTTCTTCAAGGGTTAAGTAAAGGAAATGGATCTATTTGGAACCTTAGTTCTATTAAGAACCATTTCATCCTTCAGTGGTTCTTTGCATGGTGAAATGGTCCTTCAGATTGATGGAAAAGGTTGTTTTGGTGTTGTATATGGTTCTATATAGAACCTTTTTGAAAAAAACACCAAAACAGGTTCTGTTACTGTTATGATGTCAAGCTTGTGACAATAGCAGAACCTTTTTTGGTGCTGTATAGATCCATATACAACCATATCCAACGATTTCACCATGTAGAGAACCATTTAAGCATAAAATAAAAATAAAAAAATATATATATATAAAATCATCTTTTATATTCTATATCTTTTATCAAATGTCTTGATTAAGACTAATGAAACCATTAGTTTGTCAATAATTAAGTATAAATGTAAGGACAAAAGTTCTTGCCCATAGCCCCCACTTCCCCCAATGCCCCCCTTACCTCAAAACTGACCCTTCCCCAAAGCCCCTCCCCTTCCCAAAACACCTCTTCTTCAAAGCCCCTCCCCTTTCTCAGATCCCCCCTTTTGTACACTGAGAGTTTATTATTGATGTTGGTGTGATAAATACTAAAAATACAGTCGTGTGCAAAAGTTTTGGCACCCCTGGTCAAATTCTGTTTTGGTGGTTTTCTAAGTGAATATAAGTTAACACATCCTCAACGATACGGCATTGTTCTGCACATTCTTTTGCACAATTTCTGTTTATATTTTGCTGAGTTTAACATTTTGGAAGAAAATAGAAACAAAGTATAAACTGTGTCTTTTGTACAGGCCACCTTTTATGCCCAACCCCCCCAACTAACCCCTTAAGTGGTCATGGCCCACCAGTAGGCCCAAATTTTTATTACGCACTTCTATAACCTAAGAATAGTTCAGCATTGAAGTCCCTGTAATTAATAATGAGCCTTAGAATATAACAAGCCTTGGATTTTAAGGGGTTAACAATAATTATGCATTAAAATGTGCAGAAGTGTGTCCTTCTGTAGAGGATGTTAGTTTATTTTCACCTGAAAACTCAACGAAACATGTCATTTGGCCCAAACCTTTGCATACAACTGCACAGTAGCCCTAATTCATCCAACGAGCGCAACATCTGAGCGTGAGAAGTGATGTACTCTGCGTCTATTTCAAGAAAATGTCTATGGCTGCGACTCAAACTGCATACTACCATACTAACTAAACAGAAGGTCAAAAATAGTACACCACCAATAGCAGTGTATTCAAGAGTGTAGTGTGTATAGTATCATATATAGTATGTGGTTTAGGACGCAGCCCATGTCTATTTCAAGAAAAGCTTCGATGTGAGCAAAGACTCGAGCACAGTCATTGAACCAGCTTCAGTTGCGAGAAAATAAGCACCTGCCCCGTGCTCTCATTTGCATATCGTTTGCATATTATTTTCAGAGAATACATATAATATCAGGGTACACCCTCTAAAGGTGTTGCGGTAGAATTAGCATGAAACGCTCCCCTCATTCATGCAGGTGTGAGGCAGTAAAATCAAAGCATTGAGCAGGATCATATGTCTTTGGCTGTCGTCCGTTCACCAGCTCACAGATGACTTGTTCACATAGAAGCGCAGGATAGAGGAAGAGCCCCATCAGATGAAATAAGGTATAAATGCTTACATTGATTTTCTGTATTTTAAATTAGAGGACAAGTATATTTATACAGTATAGCTCTATTATTTTTTGTATAAATATATACAGAGTTTAACATTTTACATGGAATATATCAGGTTAAATATTTTAGACAGATTTAGGTCTACCAGTGATTTAGATTTACATTTCTGTGGTTTACCAGGGACGTTTCTTAAAAGGCAAACTGGACATGTTTTTATTTACTTTTCACATGACAAAATGGATGTAAAACCATTTTTTGGTATCTTTTCTAATCACTACAGAGGAATATCTTACAGATTAGAAGAGATGTACTGATTATAATGTGTGGGTGAAAAGGACACCAGGGATTTATATTGAATATGATTTAATGATTATCTATACCACTTACATTAGTTCTATGTTGTTGTATACATGTGCAGTCAGGTGCAAAAGTAATGCACTATTACTTGGCTGACTTTAACATTAATGGAAAACAATAATAATAACAAAACATGGCCCGAGCAAAATTTAAGGCCCATTTTATATTTTATGTTTTATTTGTTTTTTCCACAATGTGGAATTCAGCAAACATATTTCAGAGGTGGTGATCAAATCTCAAGGCACATTATCAAGGCATTACTGTAAATAGATCATTACAGAAGTTTATTTATCGATTAGTAAGTCTTAAAATAGCCTCTAGTATCTAACTTATCTGTTCCAATCTACACTATATAAGCTAATCATGAATAGAATAGCAGCCAATTATTAATATGGCACGTGATTCCAAACTTTACAACTGCAGTGTGCTGCATTTGGAAGGATGGATGGATGGATGGATGGATGGATAGATGGATAGATAGATAGATAGATAGATAGATAGATAGATAGATAGATAGATAGATGTGTATAACAATATAAACAACATATGTTTATGATATAGTCTGCAAAATACAATTACATTTAAATTCAAATTGAACTACCTACTATTTTAGTATAAGAGCACAATTATTATCATTACCACTGATATTTTCTATTTTTTATTGGCTTTACTGATATTATTGATTATTACTCATATTATTTTACCTGCATATCTATATTATAGGTTAAGTGAAGGAAAAATGTCACTATAAAATAAAGAGAATAGACAGTGACTAGTCTGTGCTGTTACATTATACATAGATATATGCACGTGTGTGTTTGAACAATAGGTCCCATTAGCAATAGGATGTGCATGGGGTTGTATGTACATATTAGCTTTTAATGAATAATTCATAGTAAGTACTGAATAATAAGCCTTAATTCTCTATTGACACTGTTAGAATCACTTTAGAATACCATTCATACCCCTCAGTATGTGATAATTAATAAGTGAACCATTATTATTATCATTAGATGTTTGCTATTTTTATTGGTGTCACTAATATTATTGATTATTCTGATGATTGTTTTGATATTTTAACTGCAAATCAAGCATTTTTAGGTTGGTAAACAAGCACACTCAAATCGGCATGCTCTCTATTACTGTATAATACACATTACAGGAGCAATACAGTGTGTTTTTGTTTAAAAAAGAGAAAAAACATATAAAACTTGTTCACTCTAAACAGGTTTTTAGTTTTAGAAGCTAAAGGACAGGTGCTGAACAACTGCTCATTAGCTTCTATTTAAGCTCATTGGTTTTCTATTTGTTTTATTGTTTTGTATATGTGCAGGGGAAAGCATCAAAATGGCTATCTATGCTAATCAACTGTAGACTACAATCACAGCAGATAGAGATTTTTAATTTTTTTAAATTTAGAAATTCGGTTGGGGCATTCCTTTTAGGTTAATAAGTAAATAATGAGCCTGTAGTTTAATGAGATAATCAATATGTGCTTTATTATCAACTATTATTAACTATTATCGTTGATATTTTCTATTTTTATTTGTGTTAGAGACATTATTGATTATATCGATGATTATTTTTAAATTTCAACTGCAAATCAAACATTTTTTACAAATACTAAAAACCTAACAGGATTTTACAGGTACAGGTTCTAAAACATCTGCCCATTGGCGTCTATTGTAAGCTAATAGATTTTCTGTGTGTTTTCAATAAATACAGGGAAACACATCGGCATTACAGTCTGGGGATGTTAGCTGTACACTACAATCACAGCAGTTAAAGATTAGGTTGAAAATTTTGTTGGAGTGTTCCTTTTAGGTTAATATATGAATTATGAGCCTGTAGTTTAAGGGGTTAATTCTTTTTTGGCACCATTTAAAACACCATTCACCCCCCTCAGTGTGAGAAAATCAATGTGTGCAATGATTATTATGATCGATATCGAGACATTATTGATTATATTGATGATTATTTTGATATTTTAGATGCAAATCAAACACTTTAATGTTGGTAACCCCTTCAGTGGCCAGGGCCCTCTAGCAGACCCAAAGCTTTATTACACACATCTATAACCTAAGAATAGCTCAGCCAGTTTGCATTGAAGTCCCTGTAGTTACTGAATAATAAGCTTTAGTATGTAATAAGCCTCACAGAATCACGCTCAAATGTGCACACACTCTGATCAGATGCAAGTTTAATCCCACAGAAACGCCAAAGATGAAAGTGGTGAATAATGAGACTCCCGGTGAAACTTTTAGACCTGAGTTAACTGTATGCTCTGTGATGATTAACCCTTGTGTGTGTTCAGGTCTGTTACCAAAACAATAAATGATGCATTTTATCATTATTTAAACTCAGATTCTTGGCCTTTGCTCATTTTCAGTGACGAACATATACAATAA